AACAGAGAACGGATAATGGTTAGCGCAGGTGCACCCGCAGCACGGCATCACGTTGTACAAGGAGTTGAGCTTCTCAGAGATGATGGAGAATGTTCATCCTTTTATTGATTCTCTCGTGCTTCCCCGCTGGTTGGTTCACTCGCAGTGGTCATCGTGTGACCCTTACTCTTGCATTAGCGTTGCTGGACCTCGTGATATTTGCTCTGGCTGTGTGTGTGCGCGGCCGTCGGCAGGCAGGTGCGCATGTGCAGACCACAGCGTGCATACACGCCATGGTATGCAGATGTTATGGCTGGCATGTCGCGCCAGCAGGTTCATTCCCAGAAGAAGGAGACCAAGATGGACGGCCACGAGATCGACGCAGGGCAGCTCGGCACTCAGCTGGGTGCGCGTTCGAGCAAGTACATGAAGAGCATGAAGGTAGGATTCGGGGAGGGACAGGGCGCTGTTTACCGAGTCGTGCTGGTATGTGGTTTCAGAGCGCCACCTCGAGACTGCAAGTTCAAGATGAGTGATCGCGCGTATCTTGACCCTGGGAACGCGTGGTAGTTGGATATCCTGAAGGGAAGGCCAGGGATTATGAGATGTGTTTCAGCTGGACAACAGGGTTAGATGGTTGTAGGGACCTTGAGCTGTTCAGGGCTCTTGAGATGCTGGGGTGTTTAGTGGGCACGCGTGGTCTGGTCGGGGTAGGGCAAATGCACGGGGGAGGGCAGGTGGAGCACGCCAGCTCGGCTGGTAGCAGCTACGACAGCTATTCGTCGGACCACTCTTTTGCTCTGCCAGGTTCATGCTGAATCTCTCCAACGTTGTTATCACGTGTGCAATCACAGCTGTCGTGCACGCTTAATGTGTTTTTACTTGTATGTAAATCATCGCACCTCTCGGGCCCCACTCCAGGCCCATCCGCCCTCCTCGGCCAGCCTGCCGTTCAGTCGGATCGGCATAACTCGAATTGGCGATGCATTTCCTCAGCGTTGAGACCTTCAACCATCCACCCGAACGTCTGGTTGAGGGCCTGAACGCCTCGCTACTTCTCCGCAGGACGAGGAGCCTCAGCCTACCCAGGGACCTTCTAGCAGTGCGGCTGGATCATCTGGTTATGTCCGCGACGAGAGAGCAATGGAGACGGCCAGCATGTTGGGAGAGGCATCGCATATCGGATGCGTACTTGGATCCTACGTGGCGGGGGGGGAGGCTGGTCGACCCTCGCGAAGAAGAGGGATCCATGCTGGAGGTTGGAAACTCGTCTTGATTGTGGCGGTGGCTACGATGATGATAGCAATGACGATGGTGACGACGACAATGACTAGTCAGTACCACCAACACCATAGCTATGGTGTTGGTGGTACTGATGATGATGGTGATGGCGGTAATGGTGAAGATGATGTTGCGTCTGCTGATGGTGGTGATGCCGATGGTGATGATGTTGATACTGATGATGATGGTGATGATGGCCATGCTGAGGTGACGATGGTGATGGTGGCGGCGCCGTCGATGGCGATCGTCATCGACGTCGCCACCATCACGTCGACTGTCGACGTCGTCGCCACGTCGACGTGGCGGCGACGACGACTGAGTCGACGAAGACGGCCGACGACGGACAAAGGCGGACGAGGGCGACGATGAGGGCGAGGTTGCCTGGGCACGATGGTGATGACGATGACGATGATGGTGCGACAGCGGGGGAGGCGAAGTCGAAGGCGGGCGTCCTGGCGCCGTTCAGAACCGAGATTGAGAAGCACGCGACCGACATCACGGACGCGACCAAGACCATCACGCAGATGATCCAGGGGACGTCCATGTCTTAGCATTGCTTGCTGGTGTCGCCGTCCCCCTCCCACATCGATGGTGCATGGTTCTCTGATGTTTCGCATTATCTGAAATTGCTTCCGTTCGCATGCGTATCTCATGTTAGCAGGACGTCTGCAGCAATGCCGTGCATCGTCGATCGCTCATTGCGCCGAGGTGTGACGATGACATCAAGGGTGTGAAATCCACCATCGAGCAGGCCATTGCAGCTTACTTGTCTTGAATGTGGCATTGCAGCGCTAGGGGACTAGAGCGATAGAGTGTATATAATATATGAGTGCGAGGGAGGGATGGAGGGATAGAGAGAGAGGGGGAGCGAGCGAGAGAGAACACCCAATCAAGAGGCAATACATTAAGCACAGAAGAGAGAGAGAGAGGAGAGAGGAGAGAGGGGAGGGGGAGGGAGCACGAGAGAGAGAGAGAGGGAGAGACACAGTTCACGAGATATGTGCGCCCAGAGTTCAAAACTGAGCTCGAGTCGACGATCGACGTTGGCCAACAACTATCTGGAACGGGGGCTGGAAGAGTGGACAAGCGCAGCCAGGATCAGGACGCCAGGCGAACAGAGGGGGGTACGAGAATAAAGAACATCGAGGAACGATGGTAAGAGGGGAGAGGATATGCATCCACCCAGCCCTCACCTCCCCCCCTGGCTCGCCTCCAGTATGCCAACGAAGAATGGTTTCGATGCCGCTCTCCTCTCACTCCTCCTCAGACTCGTCCTTTACTTGCGCTCGCCCTCACACCCCTCACCTTTTCGCAGTGCGCGTCACGATCACGAGTTCCATGTATAGATCTAGCTAGAGGCCAAGACGTTCCTGGGCGCCATCAAGCCCGTGATGGACACGTTCCAGCAGGCCCAGGAGGTATTAGCCAAGGCAGGGTCGGCGTGATGCATCGAGTACGTCATCGCGGCTTGGGCGCGTCCATGTGGCGTCGTTGCAGCAGTGCCACCGACGGGGACACAGAGGTTCGACATTTTTTTGAAAAACTGCGTCCCTAGAACTCTCGACCCACTCCCCAGGACAAGTGTTGTATCCTAAACCGTTGGTTGACGAACCCAGGGCCTGAAACAATCCGTCTTGGCCTTTGCGCGTTGGATCTCTGCTGAGTGCCATGTTCAGGCCCAGGTTTTGGGGCGCCGCGCGCGTGCTCAAGTGCACTAGTGCACTTGAACACGCACGCGGGGTACGCATGAGGAGGGTGAGGATGAGGGCGAGGATGAGGAAGGCGTAAGTGGCATGAGAGATGTTGGTGCATTGGCACAGCCAATGCTGGCACGTCGCGGGCGGCGCTCGACATCTATACAGACTCCCGTTCCCGTGGGAGCACGCTCTGAGAAACAATGCGGCTGCGCTCGGTTGATCATGCTCGCAGCCAGGTGTTCGCATGCCATTGCGCAGCCAGTGGAGGGGAAGTCCAGGAGTGGGCGCGTGGCATTGTTCAACATCAATATAAATACATGTATGACGACATGTGTATGTATTCGGATCTATCTGTAAGTATAGGTATACATATGTAACGACATGTGTATTACATATAAAGGTATGGGTAACACATGTCATCATGTATATGTGCAATCGGCCAGCATTGATGTGTGTAGGTCTTCCTTGATTCGCGAATGTGCGTGTTCCTCCATGCGCGAGCTCAGACCAGGTGTCGTTGTATCGCCTGCTGTGCACACTCAGATGTTTGCTCACATCGTGAACGGTCGTTCTCGCAGTGTCTCGATTGGGTCAGAGCTTGACCGAATGGAACGCGGAAGTGATATCCGCTGCGCCCCTCCCCGAATCCATCGCCCCACCGTTCCGTCGAGCACGGTGTACTGAGCCACGAGCTTGAGCATGCAGTCATGGGGAGTGCAATGAGGAGGACACCCTCAGGAGTCATGAGCAGGACCTCGCAGGCAGGCAGGCCTTCCTTCCCAAAGGGAGAGCGCCGATGCGCGCAGTGGGAGATGTCGACTGCAGAGCTGTGCCATCCAGCGGTCGACCGTTCTGTGCAGGGCGCAGTGGGGGGTAAGAAGCAGGTCAGGACAGGACTCGTGCGCTAAGGCTCAAGGCTCAAAGCTGTTTTACATATTTGTTATCCATAAGTTTCACCAGTCCACTTCAGCATAATTCAGTTTCACACTTACTTCTTGTTTCACTTGACCTTGCTCCGAGCTTCACGCCGAATGGCGGCTCGGGCGTCTGCTGAGACTTTGACTCTAGAAGAACGCCCCGAGACCCCGCGAGAGACAGATGGCGGGGATGGCCTCAGAAGGTACCTGTTGAGCCAGTATCAGGAAGGCCTCATGCCAGCAACGATGGTGAACACTATTGCGTGGCATGCCCAACGGGGAGGTTGCAACGGCGTGGGGGATCTAGCACATCCTCCAGAGAGCACCCACCACGCGGCACTCCTGAGAAATGCGATCCAGGCTCGCTCCGAAGAGACGTTCTTCCGCCCCCTGATTCCGATGTGGGACAAAGAGACAGATTCCAGAATCCACGTGCGGTTGCCCATGAACCTTCCCTTCGATCAATTCGCGGATGCTTTTCGGGAGGACCCGTCGGCGTGGAACCCAGACAACTTCGAGGCTGCAGATATTCCACCGACATTCACGAATCATCCGGTGGCCCTGGCGAATCCAAAGAAGGCGTGTCCGCTCGGTTATTTCAGCGACGGGTTCCCCATCACAAAGAAAGATAGTTGCATTGCCCATTATTTCAGCAATAGTTTAACTGGCGTGAGATATCTTATTGCCGTCGTTCGCAAAAGTGATTTATGCAGGTGCGGGTGCAAAGGGTTTTGCACCCTCGGCACCATTCTTCGAGTCATAGCGTGGGCCTTCAATGTTATGGCTATTGGGTTGTATCCTTCCCACGACCACGAGAACAAACCCTTCGAAGATTTGGTGCGCGCAAGTAAGTATAATTTTCCTATTGCTGACAACTGGGTTGGTGCGCTGTGCGAACTGCGTGCAGACCTCCTGGAAATTTTCGAAAGGATAGGAGTGAAGACATTTAAGAATGTTATTAACCCGTGCTTTGCGTGCAGCGCCAACAAAAAAACAGTTATATGATTTTCCGACTTCCATCGGGGCAATGGAATGGGTCCCCAGAGATGAAGTGGCATACAACATCATGATGCACCGTTCACTGGTGACTAAAACAATTGTGTCTCGACAGCAGCTTCGCCGACTGATGAGGTGCATGCACCTGGACGACGCCTTGGGCGGATACGGCCTGCACACGTCGTTTCCTGAACTCGGTCTCGAGAAGGGCTACAGGCTCATAGAGGACGGCAACTTGCACGACGTTCATGCCCTCAAAGACGCAGATGTTCCGATCGACCTTACATTTTTCAACACAACTGTAAATATGGGGTTGAACCTCATATGCCCTCTCTTTCGGATTGCAGGGTTTACATACTCAATGATACACTTGGACGCTATGCACATCCTAGATCTGGGAACCAGCCAGTACCTCATCGGGGCCATTTTTCTTCTCATGGTGAAGAAGAACTTTGCTAGGTCGAGGCATTTCAGGCTTGAGGGTCGGCGCACGGCCAACATCACCCACCTACGGAGGCTGCGCGGGCTAGGGAACCTACCAGAGACGACCCGTTGCCAGGGATGCTTTTTTTGTTTGTGCATGAGCCCGCCACTCGAGGGGCGACGGGGAACACGGGACCGAAACGCATTTTCTGGCAACGGGGTCATTTTCTTCGAAGCCCCACCCCCACCCGCCCGAGGCGATTGAGGGTCTTCTACAAGATGAACCCCAGAACTGGTAGTGGAGTTAGGTCAAGGATCGACAAGATCAGCCTGAAGATGTTTTCTAAGGGACGGTTGCAGGCGAAGGCGGCAGAGACAAAGCATCTTCTGCCATTCGCGCAGCTGCTTCTGTCAGAGAACCAGTCCCTCCTGTCTGATAAGGACAAGCTGCTGAATATGGCGTGCACTGAGCTCGTCAAACTGCATGACGTCATGGCAGCGAATCCTCGGGTCATGACCGAGAGCGCCGCTAAGAGCCTCCAGCGACACATGTTGCGTTTTTTACGGTTTTGGCACAGCTGGGGGGGACACGTGGTGTTCAAACACCACATGTCGGTGCACCTTGTTGCGAATGCTTTGAAGCATGGCAACCCAAAGTTTTACACGTGCTACCCCGACGAGCGGTTCAACCGAGTCATGGGGCGCGTTGCAAAGTCAGTGCACGGTGGTTCTACGTTTTACAGCACAATGCTGGGAAAAATTATTCCTTCGCGGTGCTGACTAGTCCAGTGTCCTTCTTGCTTCCCCCAAAATCCTCGATCCTCCCCCTCCCCCTCCCCTTCCTCCTCCTCCTCCTCCTCCCCCCTCCTCCTCCCCCTCCCCCTCCTCCTCCTCCTCCTCCTCCTCCTCCTCCTCCTCCTCCTCCTCCTCCTCCTCCTCCTCCTCCTCCTCCTTCGATCGGCTGGGACGGCGCGCGAGACCGTCGGCTCCCCTGGGGGTCGGCTGGGGCCGCGCGCGGACCGTCGGTCTTCTGGGGATCGGCTGGGACTGCGCGCGGAAACGTCGTCCCTCGGGGGTCGGCTGGGGCCGTGCGCGGGACCGCTGGTCCCCTGACGGTCGGCTGGGACTGCGTGCGGAACCGATCGGCTCCCTCGGGGGTCAACTGGAGCCGCACTGGCCCCCTCGAGGGTCGGCAGGGACTGCGAGCGGAACCGTGCGTCCCAGGGCCTTCGACCTTTCTCCTCCCCCTCCTCCTCCTCCTCCTCCTTTTCTCCTCCTATTCCTCTTCCTCCTCCTCCTCCTCCTCCTCCTCCTCCTCCTCCTCCTCCTCCTTCTCTTCATATAGATATATACATATATCCTCGATCCTCTTCCTCCTCCTCCTCCTCCTCATCCTCGATCGTTTTCCTCCTCCTTTTCCGTTTCCTGCTCCTTTTCCTCCTCCCCCTCCTCCCCCTCCTCCTCCCTGCATCCTCCCTTGCTAAGGGAGACAGAAAGAGGGAGATGAGGAGATCACATGAGGCCTCGCCCCTTCGGTTCTCACCCCTCCATGTTTCACCATCGGGCGCCGCAGGGCGCGCATCCCGACAGTACTGTTGCATGTGCTATGTGTGGACGGATGGACGTGCGCGCTGACTCGAGTCGGAAATGTGCGGGACCATCCAGGTCGTCGTCTGTTTCTCCCGCGCCCGTGCCTCTGCCCCTGCCCTTGCCCCCATCCGTCGGCGGCGCTTGGCGGCCGCCGGATACAACGCAGCAACAGGGAGATCGCTGCATGGGCCCCCTTCCGTACTCTTCTCGTTCCTCTTCCCTGCCTCCCGTTCCCGCTCACCACCACCCCGCCCCCCGTCGTCCCCTTCGCCGTCCCTCCGATGGGAAACACGGCGGGCCCAGGGACCGCGCGTCTGGGGTTGACCCCTCGATGCCCACCGCCAGGCTGTCCTGTTGAGGGTGTGTCAACATATGACGTATTTGCACGTATGTATTTGTATGCAGGACACGTCCTTGTCCGTACATACGCATATCACATATAAATGTATACACAGACGTACACACGTTATACAGACGTATGCAAAATCATATACATATATATATATATATATATATATATATATATTGGTATACACACGTACGAATGTGTAAACGGCTGCAACGTCTGCAACGTTGCAACGGCTGCAAGGACTGCAGCGGCTGCAAGGACTGCAACGGCTGCAATGTCTGCAACTCTTGACTTGCACGCGACTGGGTTTCGTTGATTGTGTTGCGCGTGAATTGGTTTCGTTTTCACAACGTGTTCGATAAACCTTTGTTGTGATTTTTTTTTTTCAAACGCTTGATTTATTTTCAATCCGCTTCGGAGCGGATTGAAAAAATCATGACCCAGGATCTCTGGGAACTGGTTGTACTGGATGGACTTGCTCTGAGCTCCACCAACTTTTCCAACTCGTCCTTGTAGCACACAGCGGTTGCCCATGTAGGCTGTTTCGTGGGCACCGCTGCCAGTGCGTACCTGTCAAATGCAATTGCCCACTGCACGAACGACCTGAAGAACCGGCGGGTTGCTGCAGCACTCCGCAACGCACTGGCGAGCTGGCCAAGTTGCGACAAAGGTCGACGGGTCGAGCGGTGTACCCCATTCGCCTCCCGTGAGCGCTTTCCCTCCGATTGTATCCGAAGACAGCCAAAATGGCAGGACCTCTTTGGCCGTCAGGTCTATGTACGAGAACGGTTCCCGCTGGTCTTTCTCAGCGGCAACGTTCTCTGCGCGCAAAACCCGCCACGCCAACTCCTCCGCCTGCATGTGGAACGGGAGTGCATCGAGACCCGCTTTTGCCAGCTTGTCTGTAGCATTCACCTTTTTCAGGCGCTACTGCTGAAAGCTTGGCCACCACCTCGGCAGAATACCCGGGCTCAACCATGTCCAAGACGTCCTGCTGCATGGCTTGGGGGAGTGACTGCTGGGTCTGCGGGGTGAGAACAGATGCAGCAAGTGCTGATGAGGCTCCACTGCTCTGCCTCCCTGGGTTTGCCCAGCGAATCGCTCGACGAGCTAAGCCTAGCACTGGTAGGGATAAATCTGGTTTCGCGTCGCTCTCTTTTAGGCCAACTAACTGGCCTGGCTCAGACACCCCACTGTCCGTGAAGTGCGCCTCTGTCGCCCTCAACACCTCGGGCGTCGGCTCCTTGGCGTCCACCGACTGAGGAAGCTGTTCAATGTCACCTCCTCCATGGGTCGCCTGTGGGGGATCTGAAGCAGAGAGCTTCCGTGCAACACCCTTTGAGCCACCTGAGCCCAGATGGCTACGGACCCTCCCGTGCTGACCACACGATGCCTGTTCTCTGTGGGGGTGAGGTCACCTGCCAACAGGGATCGGGTCAAGACCTCCAGGCGCAACTAGGATGCCGAGAGCACCCTGCCGACTGGGACGGGGTCAAAGAGCTCCAGGGCCCAAAACAAACGACCACACACAGCTGCAAGGTGCAGAGCTCTCTCCACGAGCGGCGCCGACAAGACACCCCACCGCACCGACGAAGGCAACGTGCCTCCGGGGGACGGAGTCAAAAGCTCCGGGGCGATAGCAGCGACAGAGGGACCACCTCATCGCGCCCGCTCGTCTCTGGAATCCTGTGCTCTGACTGCTCCGCGGCACACTACCCCCTGCTGCTTTTGGGGGTCAAACGTAAGACGACTGAGGGGGGAAGGGAGATGAGGGGAGGGAAGCCGGCTCACGGCGCAAATGGGGACAAGTCGATCCCCCTGGTCGGAGATCAGGCTCTCCTTGCCCCCGCCCCCCAGTCGCCGTTACGACAGAGTGTTCGTTGTCAAGCTCATTTTGGGCCAGCACCCAACTAGTTGGGTTTCCGCCTCAGGAACCCCGAACAAGGAACGAGGCCCCTTTTTTCTCCACCAGTTGAACTTCGAGTTCCCGACCGAAAACCCAGGGGGAAACTTGGGGCACACTGCGAAACAAGCAAGGAGCACGGAGCCCCTCCCCGAGGACAGGGCTCCCTTCTCCGGCGCCCCGAGCACACTGCTGGGCGGGCCACATGGCGAACCCTACCCCCTGCCCCCCGCTCAGAAACCAGAAATCGTTGAGGGGGGGGCAGAAGGGGGCAGGGCTCGCACGTGGCCCCCCAGCAGCGCCGCCGCTCTCCGACCGCAAAGGGGCCGCCGAGCTCCGGGGGCGCGGCGCGGCCCTCCCGGCCACGGCGGGCCGCGGTCGCGGACGGGCTCCCCGGCCCTGCGCCGACGGAGCCGGCCCGAGAGCCAGGGCCTCCTCGTCCCGGGCCCGAGGGGCCAGGCTGGATTGCAAAAAAACCCAGGATTGCAAAAAAAAAAAAAAAAAAAACTTTTTCGAAGGATTGCAACAAACCCTGGCTTTTGTTTGCAAGCCTTTTTTTGCAATCCTGGGTTTTTTTGCAATCCTGGGTTTTTTTGCGATCCTCGCCACCCCCTCGCCGTGGGCGATAGAGGGGCAGGAAATGACGGAGATGCCCCTTTTACGACTGGCGGTTCCGGGTGCCCTGTGCGCAAGGCCCCTGCCACCCCCAATAAGTTCATTCAGGAACTTGATGCCGAAGAGTGGTGGTTGGGTTGTTCAAGTCGGCCGAACGCGTGAGCCCCATGCCTACAGAAGTCGGGCAAAGAGGAGGATAGACTTACGTGTTGGTACACGGGGGCGTATCCTCGATGAGCCTTAATACCGGTGCGATGGCAGTAGAGGGACAAGGAATGACGGAGGACGGAGATGCCTCTTTTACGGGTGACGGTTCTGGGGGCCCTGTGCGCAGGGCCCCTGCTACTCCCAGGAACGTGAGGCCCCCCCGTGTGCTGGGAGGGCAACGCCGGAGAGAGGGAGGAGCGCCTGAGGTGAGGAGCCCCTCGACGCTAGCGAGTGTGAGGGGCCCAGCCGACCTCACCTCGCTCTATTTTTTCCCACTTCAACATGGCACCTCCGCCTCCGCCCGTGCCGCACCGCCCACGTGCGCACAAGGGGCAGCGAGGGCGCGCCCTCGAAGCCCCCGCCCGCCCTCCACACTTAGCGCCCTCCGCGGCTGGAGCGCCGCTCCCGCCCTGGACCCCGCGGCCCTGCGCGCGGCGGAAGGCTGGGGGCCCGCGGGATGAAAGGAGCCCCCGCCGCGACGGCGCTCACTGGAAGGAGGGGGAGGAGGGGGAGGAGGAGGAGGAGGAGGAGGAGGAGGAGGAGGAGGAGGAGGAGGAGGAGGAGGAGGAGGAGGAGGAGGAGAGGAGAGGAGGAGGAGGAGGAGGAGGAGGAGGAGGAGGAGGAGGAGGGGGAGGTGGGGCTTCAAGACGATCCCGGGAGCACGCCGGGTGGCCGCTCGGCGCCCCCTCCGCTCCAGGGGGGGCCGCCGGCGAGCCCCGCCCGGGACGCGCCCCGAGGCGAGCGGACGACGGCACCATGCGCATGAGGTGTCCCGAGCGGCCGCTACGGGAAGCTCTGGCTCCTAGGATTGTGGATGGGATTGTGGATGCAACGACAATGGACACCCCGACAGTCCTATCATTGAATTCAAAATGTGTTCAAAATGTTGGAAAGCTGTTCTAAACATGTTTCAAGCATGTGTCGAACATGTATACAAAAATGTTTACACGTGTTTTAGACATCTGGGAATTCTTTGGCAACGTGCTTCCTCTCCATTGATCGTCCTCCTCAATCCTGGGATCGCCGCGCCTCCGCAGCAGCGGCCCCGGGGGTCGGGCGCCCCGCGCTGGCCCGGCGGCCGTCGCCGGCCGCCCGCCTGTGGCGGGGGCTCCCGCC